AGTATAGAAAAGTCTTCTTTTTCTCCCTCTTATGGGGTTTATATTTCTACTCTCTCAATTACTAATGTCACACATTTTTATTTTAATTGGCTATTATACCATTTAATTTATTAAAAAACAAAAAAATGTAGAATTTTGTTTTAAAAAAAATGTAATGTAAGGGTAAAATATAATTATATTAAAATGATATGATATTAACTATTTAAGGTGTGATAATAATCCCATGTGATAATAACTCTACCCCTTTTATGTAATATCTTTCAAGTTTTATTAAAACTATTGCATAAAATTTGAATAGTGATTATATAACATTTGTAAAATTAAAGAAAGTGTGAATTATTTTTTTTTCAACAATATTAGAGCTCTACTCATGTGGAGAAAGTTAGATATAAAAAACCAAAACTGTCAACAAAAAAGTCTTAAACTTAGATGCATACAAAGTCAACATAGAAAAGTCCTCTTTTCTCCCTCTTATGGGGATGATGTTATTATCACACCCTCATTTATTAATGTCATACCTTTTTATTTTAATTGATTATTATATTTTTTAATTGATTATTATATTCTTTAATTTATTAAGAAACAAAAAAAAAGTAGAATTTTGAGAAAAAATGTAACATAAGAGTATAATAGATAATTACATTAAAATGATGTGATATTAACTATTTAAGGTGTAACAATAACCATATCCCTTTTATGTTATATCATTCAAGTTTTATTAATACCATTTCATAAAATTGTACTTTTTTCTTTTTTAATTCTAAGTTCTATCCAATTAATTATATTAGATTTGATTAGATTTGATGCTCTTCATCTTCTATTTGTTTTTTTTTTTTTTATTTGGCTCAACTATTTGGTTATGTTGCATTAGAAATCTATTCTATTCTATATCTATCTATATATTAAGGAAGAAGCTGATTAAGATCATATCATATGCCAAACTTTTATGCAAATCTTAATTTGTAATTCTTTTGATACATGGCAAAATTTTCCTTATTTAGTAGCATTTTTGAAAATGGAGTATTTCTTATGTTGTTGTTCAATGAGATGAGTTATTGTCAAAGTAAAAAATTATGGCACAAAAAAAAAAAAAGAAAAAGGAAAAGAAATCGAATCCAAAAGGTTAATTAATGACATTTGACTACAATTCCCTTAATTAGTACATATATGCTAACACTCTTTGTTAATTTAAATATCTTTTAAAATAAAAAATTGATAAAAGAGATAGATTATTTGGGAAAAATTATATGAGGAAAGTGTGTACTAAAATATTTAATTCACAATAATAATAAAAAAACTACTAAATTTTTTTATTGTACTACTTTTCAAATTAAGCATTTATTATTTTTAAGCCTAATTTTTTTTTTTAGGATTTAGGAAGAATAATTTTATGTTTCAATATTTAAGATTTAACATGTAGAATTATAAATTTAAATTT